AGTCTTTGGTACAGTGGTAGAGGGCATCATGAGGTCATGAATCAGTGAAATTATCGGCACACCTTTTACAGTAAAAAGTTAGTAGATCTAAAGTGACATTATTGACCCATTTTGGATCAATGGCAAATTAAAAATCATATTTTACAGTAAATGTTTCTGGTCTTTGAGTACAGGTAGAGGGGCAATCATGTGGTCATGAATCAGTTGAATTCGTCGCACACCTTTTTACACTAAAAGTTACAGCTGAATCAAAAGTGACCTGTTTTGACCATTTTTAGGTATTTTGGACCAAAATGGTCTACTTTAAATCAATATTTCTCAATATTTCTACAGGTAAACGTTTCTGGTCCTTTGGTACAGTGGTAGAGGGCAATCATGTGTCATGGCATCCAGGTAAAAGTAGTCGCACACCTTTTTACAGTATAAAGTTAACAGTAGATACAAAAGTGTACATGTTTTGGAACATTTTTCGGCTATTTTGGACCAAAAAGGCTTCCTTTAAAGTGGTTCTAACCCCCGCTCCTCGGAGCTTAGTTACTCACATTTCCTGTTCAAAATCTTCCTCTAAATGAGCGTAGCCTGGGAGGACTAAAGGGGCCGTGAACGAGACTGGGCCGTTGTACATTGCCTCTGGGGCGGGGGCTGCTGACGTCGGTCCAACTTGCAGTCCGGCAGGTCAAACTTCTGTGCCAGTGTTGGCCGCCAGATTCAAATTCAAATGTAGTAATTACAGGTCGCAGCAGATGGCGCCTCACCAAAAGCCGGTTTTAGGCAGAAAGTCTAATTTCAACCTATTTGCACCAAAGTGACAAGATTCTGACAGGATAATGTAGACAACACTATTGGACACTCCATTTATACCGTTTATCAGCAAAAATAACGTGGATTTGAGGGATGAGTTGTCCTTTAACGACTTCTGACGGGTGCTTAAAAAAAAAAAAAATAGTGGATATTCAAAATTGCATGACAATGTCAATTTGAAAGAGATTCCCGGCAAAAAAAAAACTATATTTTACTAAAAAGAAGTGTTTTTCATGACTTTCCGTTGTCTATGCTCTAACCTGTGTGTGGACGTCATAGCGGGTTACGCCCATGCATTGAAAAACCATGGGTCTATGCCACACGTCTGCTTATCTCTTTCTCTCCATGATGCCAACACAATACTGCACTTACAGGTGACAATTGCTCACTACACATAAATTGCCGTTTTGAGTGTGAAAAAATTGTCCGAGGTGGGATTTGAACCCCAAGCCTGCTGGATTGGCATTCATCAAACAAACCACTGGACTATACTCAGTGACAACAAACCGTTTACATTCGGCCTGTACTCGGGCCTTGTCATCTTGAATATCCGCGAAAAAGAACGAATACCAAATTGTAAACAACTTACAGCGTTGAAACGTACCCGTTCTGACGTCACCAAGGGCTGTGAAGTTTTTTCGTTTCTAAGGGCGTTGCTATGGGGTTATTTCGATTTGGGGGGATCAGACAAAAAAAACAACAACTGATTTTGAAACCTTTAGTAGTTCTCTTCTAATATAAAATGGTATTAAAACTGTATTTCTAAATAAATCAAACCCGTCATAAGGTCTTTAACACAAGTTTGTTTTCAGTGAGCCATTTTTGAATCAGATTGAAATCGGACTGTAACGATCTTTGAATTTGTGTAATATCCTTAGAGGATGAGTAAATTACAGTATCATTATGTCATCAATTTATACTGTATCACAATATGCCGGTATAACAAAAATCTCTACCGTTGGCCAAATTTATATCGCTTATACCGTTTATTTCGCCCAGCCCTACTTGTTATGATGTACTTTTGAACAAGAAAAGTCACGGAGCTCAGTTGGCGCTCCAGTATAATCGGTCCGTCTGAAACTCATCCTCCAGTGAGGAAGGTTCCGCGGTGGAAAAAACACATGCGATTAAAATGCGTTAAAAAAAATTACGCACTAATTTTTGTGGCGTTAATTAATCGTAATTAACGCATTAAAGTCCCGGCCCTAATTATTATTGATCAACTCTGCCCAGGAGGTAAAGCAATCTATCTCTAAAGCATAGGTCTGTTTGTTTGTCTGTCTGTGAGCAACAAGCGTCAAAACATATGGGAGGATTTGGACAACCAACTTCAGGAAACATGAGTTCTGGTCCAGTGAACAACTGATTTGAAGAACAGAACTGTGCCTCTTGGCAGTGGTTTGCAGTCTATGCCTTTGTCGTTCTATTTTTAGTTCAATGTTTAATAATCAAATAAATAACATGGTTGTTTTCTTAAGATGATTAGCTTTAAAATTATGTATAATATGTCATGGCCACCCATAAACCTCTTAATTCTAATAAAACAAAGATCATTTGGAGCACCCCCTGTAATACCCTTGCATACCCCTAGGGGCCCATGTACCTCGGTTGGAAAGCACTGACCTTGAGGATTTATGTTTGACACAAAATCCTACACGTTTCAAAACCCATTGGAAGGGTTTTTACACCTGATATCATTTTGTTAAACAACTAGTAATTAGTCTAGATCAGGCATGTCAAAGTCCAAAACCATTTTAGTGGCCCCTTAAATTATTTTCAATTATCATTTTTACAGCGACTTACAGCATTGATGATAATGGGATATGGTTATTCTTTACTCTATATAAAATTAAACTACCATGTAATTAGAAGTTAAGTTTGTTAATTAGTTAACTTTCCCTGCAGTCATAGATTGGAATTCTATTTAGGAGGCAGTGCTCTGTTCCTCCAAAAACCCAGATCACCGGCAAATCCACTTAAACTTTATACATAGGACTTATTTCCACATGGTCTGGGAGTGCCCAGAGGTGACGCAATTCTGGGAGAGGGTGGCCAGAGACCGGTCCATCCTATTATTCCCTGTTCCCCTATGGTTCTTATATTGAATGATTTCACTGCACTGGGGATTAACCAGTGGGGGCGGGTTTTGGCTCAAAAGTGGCCAAAATGACGTCTGCTGACATGCTTGCAGTACCACCCCGGGCCGATGGGGGTGGACCCAGAAGTAGAATTAGCCAATGCTAACATATAGCATTGGCAGACCTCTCGAAAACGTCTTTACAGGATGGTCCAAAAGTTGGCTCTTGGCCCAAAGCTCCGTTCCACATGTGTGTCAATGCTGAGGGGGTGAATTTTTTTGGACCACTCTAGTTTACTTGCTGTGAATTTTTGAAGTCTCTCGTTCAAATGAATGGAGTTGTGCCGGCTGACGCATGCACAGATGCGTTTTTTCACAATTTTCTTGTGGGCGGGACCACTCGCGGCCATTTTGGATAGCTCCAGTAGAGCACATTTTTTGGCCCTTTAGTTAGAAGAAAGGCGTGACTCTGTCCATTAATATATACAGTCTATGGGCTTAACAGACCCTCCCAAAGGATCTCACTGGCTGGACTTGCAGCTGCTAAAAAATTGGTTGCCACTAGGTGCCCTCAGTCGCTATCCCGCCACCAGTGGTTTATGATATTTGTTGACATTACACATCTGGAACTCTCTACATCTCGTAAGAATGGCGTTAAAGAAAGCACAATTGTGATTTGTGTTAGCTCGATAGATAAATTGAAGTAATTTTCCTTCTGAATACTGTAGTAACTCTGGAGTAGTACTTTTATCATGTTAACTTCTGTTTTTTGTTTTTTGGACCTGGACCTGAGTGAATGCTTGGACGTGTCTCTTTCTTATATTTTTGATTTTGCTTAATATTATTAATGGTAGTGACGATGATGGTAATAATAATTGTGATATTATTATTATTGTTATTGTTGTTATTATTAATATTACTTCAAATTCTTTTTTTTTTATGTAGGTATTAGAGGAGAGGCGTAGTGGTGCAATGACCATTATAGTCTGGTGGTAATGACTATAATGATGGCATTTTAACAGTGCAGTTACTCTTACTTTTGGTATAGATGCAGCTGCTATATTCCCCAAAGGACTTTGTAAACATAGACTTGAAACTTGACTATCCAAGTCTTCCCCTGTCAAATATGTATGTTAGTAGGTTTGTATTTCACTTTGGAGAGACCCAAGAGGGAAAATGCAGTTAGAAGTTTGTTGATTGAGTATGTTTGGCGCCCTAGGCCCGGGAGAGATGCTGTTGAGTGCGGCGCTTGCTCGCGCGCATAATCCCCCCCGGGGCCTAGGCACTGGTGACGGCAGAGGCAGTAGGTAAGCACGCTTCGATGAGAGAAGGAGGAGGTGGGGCGGCGGAGGCTTTGCAAACTTCAGAAGGCCGGGAAGTGGGCGTCTCCAGCTTTTAACTTGCTGTCCTGGTGGTTATTGGTGGATTAGATGTGGGCGTTTTGCTGGTGTAATGAGTAGAGGATGAGCAGGCTTGTAGATCTGGCAGCAGTGGCCGGGTCTACCACAGTGAACTTTCGCGAAGAGCTTCATGTGTGTGGAAGTGGGTACTTACATATGTATGTTTGTATATAAAACTCAAAAGCAAAGTACATCCTCACATACTGTTTTTAATGCACCTCATCCTGTTTTTTAACGCACCTTATTATACCAAGTTACTTATTTGTAACTTGGTTACAAATAAATCTAGTCCCTTCTGCAACTCCGCTCTGGTTTAATTTCAGTCATGGCAACCACCACCATTGTTGACTTCCTTGTCATCTACACTCTTTGCTCATTTCCTCAACAGACACGTTAACTTATGCTCAAACACACAGACATAAAACCAACCTAAAGAGCATGCACACACACACACACACAAACACGCACGTGCACACACACACACTTCAATGTTTCCTTTTCTTTCCTGTTGAATGTCCTTTCTTTCCTGTTACTTCTTTTCTTTCTTGCTTATTGTATCTCATTATGTTGTCATGTGTAAATCTCTCTCGTTCTTGTATTGTTGAATAAAACGTTTGAAAAATAATAATAATAAAAAATTAATACATTTAATTGTAGTTAAAAGTCTTTGTGGGTTCATAGATTTCAGATGTGCGTTATTTAACTTACTTCATATTATGCGGTTAGAAGAACGAGTTGATAATGTTCTTACCTGTGACAGGCTGCAGAGGCAAATGTTCCTACAGAGTCAAAGAAAAGGATGAATTAAATGATTAAGAGAAATATCGACAGTATTTGTGTGATCAGTCAATAACACTATCACAACACAGCCACGTGCACTTTCACTACAAACACTGAAACAGTAGACTAACCTGAACTTCCTACATCAAGGACAGCTATTTTTAATGTTAGAAGAGAATATGTTAAAGCCCTAAATATAAGAAAGGTTTAAAGTCACACAGAATACACATTCATATGTTATAAGCACGAAATCATATAATATGAGTTAGTAATAGCTTAAATCAAGTGGTTTTTTATCTTAATTTGAGTACATTCTGACTGTCTTAAAATTATATTTTCCAATGGGAAAAAGGCATTTATTCTTAACTCAGACTGTTGGTTTATTTCTTCATTCCGAGGGAGACATTTCTTGTATCTATTTAAATCTAGATTATTTTGCTTATCCCATTGGCAAATCTTGTTTTAAGGCAGTCAGAATGTGCTCAGATTAAAATACATTCTACCAAACTTGAGCAATTCCTGATAGGAAAAAACTTTGTAAGCCCTTACCGTATTCTGGTCTGTCAGAGTCACGCCTATTGACAAAAAGGACAATAGTTGGATTTAAAACATAAAAATACCAAATGCTTAGTGAATTTCAGAGATGGATAAACCAATACCTCTGCTTCTTTTCTTCCACCAGTAGACAGCTCCAAGTACACCTGCTACGACTGAATTGTAATCAAAAATAGCTTTTTAGGAAATTGTAAAATGAATACTGCATTTGCAAGATCAACCCTGGTATTACCTGCCAAGCATCCCAATGTGCCTCCAATTATAGCAACTGTATCATCTGAAAGACATGAAAGGAAACTATACACTGTATATATATATAAATATTATATATATATATATATATATATATATATATATTAGGGCCGGAACGCAATACATTTTTGTAATTAATTAATCTCGATTAATCGCATTTCAATTGCATATAAATATTTGACCTGAGAAAAGTGAGAAGTAATCTTTTTAACATGGATTTTTAGTTTACCATTGAATAAGGGCTGCTCCTACTCCGCCTCCTCCGTCTCCGTTCACGCCGTTATTACAATAAGGGGTGCACATAACTTTTTCAGTGAGGTACTCCATTTGTCACGTGGTTCTTAATCGCGATTTTATACTTGCTTCTTTTGTAATGCTTAAGGTTTGATCAGCTAAAATAATCCACTCAATCCAAGTCTGTTGACTGTTAAGTGTTTGCACCATGACTGAGCTCACCATGTCAATTGATTGGGTCCTAGGTTTTCAGTGTACCATGCATTTAAAATAAAGTTGCTTTCAAACTGTCTACTCACAGTCTCACTATATACGTGGCATGAGAAGAGCAATAAAACTCACTCTCCTGTGACTATCTTGACTGAACTGTCACAGCTCTTACAAAAATAATAGTCATGGAGATTTGCACAGAGTCCAAATTGGTTCCTCAGAATAAACAGTCCGTCTGAAACTCACCCAATAATGAAGGTTCCACGGTGCAAAAAAACACAAATAAGTTTAAAATGCGTCAATTTTTTTTAACGCGCTAATTTTGTGGCATTAATTAATCATGATTAACGCATTAAAGTCCCGGCCCTAATATATATATATTTATTTTAGCAATACCTCTGGGTTTCTCATTGCATACTGTGTTATTGGAAGCCGAACAGGCCACTCTGAAGCCTTCCGAACCACACCTTAACAACAAAACACAAAATGTAATATTATTTGTTAGCATAAAAACTAAAGGTAATAGTGAAATATGGCTGTACTTACACTCGGCAAGGCTCACAAATGTTGCAATTGTTTGTGTCGGGACCAGCGTGACAATAGTGGTTCTCTTTGCACTTGCATGTGGAGTCAACTTTAGGAGTGCACTTCCTAGCCACTTCCAGATTAGCTGAGAAACACAACATTGCGGATAGGTTATTAAATGTTCACACTGAAATGAATAGTGTTAATTTGTATAGCACAGTTCCTACACATGGCAACTCAAAGTGCTGGAAAAAAATAAGATAGAAACACTCACACAAGGCATTCAAATCATAAATAATAATACATTAAAAGAGTAAAGATAAAATCCCCCAGTTGTAAGCCTGGATTTGAACATTGTCAGAGAAGAAGCCTGTCTCACATTTTCTGGAATGCTGTTACAGGTTTTAGCAGCATATATCTGAAACGCTGCCTCCTCATGTTTAGTCCTGAGTCTGGGCACCAGCAGGAGGCCAGTCCCTGTGCTCCTCAGAGTCCGAGTTGGTTCATATGGCACCAACATGTCACAGATGTACTTTTGTTCTCAGTGCAGATAAAATGTAAAGTGTACCATTTGGATGTTCGCAGGAGGTGCAGGGCTCACACGTCGTCTGCGTGGTGGCATGAAGTTGGTACTCCTTCCCGTCCACACAAGGCTCACATTTAGTGTGGTTCTGGTCCGTACAATGCGCCTGAACCCTGTTGCCTGCATGGTGCATTGGGTGTAAGAAGTATAATTATACATCTTGAGTAGCGGTGGGAATTGGCAAATATGTGACGATATTCATCATATTATTGCAATATTTGGGCTATTATTGCGGTTTTTTACATACTGCGATTCATGTCCCTCATATATTCGAAGGCATAAATAAAACAGGATAATAAGACAAATTTGTTATGGTCTGGACATTAACTGAAGAGCATTAACTTAGGAGGGTAGTACAAAAAAACGTTATCCTTGAACATTCAGGACACAGGACCTTATTACAGAACAAGAAATCATTATTCTCTCACATGAACGGTGAGCTCCCACAAATACATTCTTAACACACGTGCACAGAGGTTTTCAGAATAATCTGTTAACGTTTTCATGACAAAAATACTGTTTTAATGTGATCAAAAACGATTCCGATAAACCCGGAAGTAACCATTGACATTAGTTGAACATTTTAGGACACATTTGCAGAGGATCTGATTATGGATTTAAGTTAAGTTTATATTTGGGTCACTCACCGCTGACGTTCAGAATTCTTTGTTCACTTTTCATGAAGTTCCAGAGAGTTCTAGTTAGTTAGCTAGCCTAGCTGTTACCCGTAGCCACGTCATGGGGATACCTTTGGGAACTATTTTATATATATCATTTAAAAAAGATAATGCCCATTACAGCTTTGAATATTAAGGGCTGTCTAATATTTGTTCGAATATATATTTAATATTCAAATTATATACGAGCGCGAGCATGATGATTGACAGCCTTTGGCATCACTTGATTGGTTTAAGTGGACGGCATAGTGGATTTTGAGCTATAGCTAAGAGAAGGGAAGGTAGGACTTACCCATAATATTATAACTCATGAAATGATTTATTTTATATCAACATTTAAGATCAGGAGATCAATTTAAAACAATTCTTAAAATTTGTAATTCATTTAGATTTCCAGACTATCACTTTTGTGTTCTGTTGTATTATTGTCATGGATCTATAATGGCTCCACTTCATATCGCTTTTCGTTTATGTTATTGTTTGACATTTCCTGTGATTTCTTAACCCTTTTAATGGTTTGTTCACCCATTTGGTGGATCACTTTTTGAGTCACTGTATTAATCCATCAATCAATCACATTTTATCTGTAACGATTTTTGAAGCATGCTTGGAACTATAAAGCCACGTCCCAATTCTCACCCTTGCCCTTAAAAAGCACCCTTGCCCTAGATTTTGCGCGTGCCCACGAGGGTTGTAGGGTGTCCCAAAATCGGATTTTGTGGGGATTTTAATGCCCCTTGTCATCCTGAACTTTTTTTGTTCCTAAATCCACACTTTGCCGCCACAAACTCTGCTCCTTTCCTTCCCGCTCTGACTCCGCTCTGCTGCTGCTCTGATAAGCAGCTCTGATTGGTCAAAGCGCGGCCGAGCCCCTCTGTGCACGGTCAGTATCACTCCCGTATTCGTCCCGGAAACCGGATTCGTCCGGAAGTTCAGTTTGATCCAATGAGCATACGCAGCAGTAGATTACGTCACGGAATCTGGACGGAAGCGGAAGTAAATATAACAAACTACCTATTCATGCCTAAACTTAACCAGCCATTCCCATAAAATAACCCCAACCCAGCCTTAACCCAAAACTTAACCATCTTAATCAGACGCCTAAACTTAACCAGTCACCACTTAAGGACATATTAAACTTTTTGACATGCGCAAACTGAACTTCCGGACAAATCCGGTTTCCGGGACGAATACGGGAGTGACACTCTCTATGCACAATATTTGTCGTTTTTTACCTAATGTAAGTAACCAATGTTCCTTGTGTCAATCTGATGGTGAAAGTATTGAACACTTATTTGTTGAATGTCCTATTATAGTTAGATTTTGGTCCAATGTGCAACACTATTTGGCTGGAATATTCCATAAAAATGTTAATATTTCCAAATTTCAAATTTTACTAATATTTAATAATAAAAAATTCTCCTCTGATGAAATTTACATTATAAATCTAATACTGATCTTAGGAAAGTACTACATCCATAAAACTAAATTCTGTGAAAAAAATACCTTCCTTTTCTGTTTTTAAAGCTTCTGATCTGAAAACCTATCTGGCCTCTATTGAAATTAATTAGAACAATCACATTGATAATTTTTTTTAAAGTATTAGTCGATTAGCAGACCCCTATATGTAATGTATGTATGTATTTTATTTTATTTTATTTGATCAATATTAGTGCATCAATGTGTCTACGTTGTTGAGAAATGTACTTGTTTCTTGCACACTTTGAATAAAAAAAAATTAAAATTACAAATTAAAAAAACTAGGGCTGTCAAACGATTACATTTTTTTAGTTGATTAATCGCACAGAAATGGTGAGTTAACTCACGATTAATCGCATTTTTAACATTCTATTTCAAATCCACTCCAATTGAAGTTAAATGAGATTATCAAATATAATGACACATTGTCATTCATACCAAATGTACTTAAATCTGTTTGCTTTTGGGCAAAACCAACATGAGCTGTTAATGAAAGGGGGAAATTTACATACCCCAGCTTTAATTCAGCGTTTCAGTTTAGTTTAGTTTCAGGAGGAGACAGGGACACACCCTAAAAAAAACACGTGCACGCACCACTTCCGCGTTTTAGCTATAACAACACTTGACTTCCAGTGCGCGGGGATTGGCTTGAGTTTTACTGGAGTTCACCAGATGTTTACACGAGTTTCCTAAATAATTCTCAAACAGGAATTAAACTGTGAGGATGCGGGGCATTTGTGGGATACAGCAGAGCTCTTTGATTGTGCTGTCACTGTGCTTTTATAAGGTTAACTAATCTCTCTGAGTGGCCACAGTCAAAGCTATTCCTCAGAGAGAAAAGATGTCCACACTTTTGGGTTGTGGGAGCACTAATATCAAAAATAATGTATGTTCATGACTTTGGACCCTCTAATTGTTTTATTTTTAGTCCTACCAAATGGTTGAGATGCAGCTTGATTGTAAAAGTTTCTCAAATCAAGTGATAGAGATGTCCCAGTTAGGTAGATTAAATGGGCATTTTTTTATGTTTCAGACTTACCAGCAGGACACATGCAGCAAGTTCTCCCGTTGAGTTCATACTGTCCATCCTGACAGTAGTCTTGCCCCTTTGTTTGGGATATGACCAGGCAAATAACACTAAAGGTATGACAGAGATCAAGTCATGGGATTGAGTGGGCACAGTGAGTGTACAGTATCGTTACTATAGGCCTGAGCTGCAACAATATAAGGCTGAACAGATTTAATCAACCCTATCTGTTACAAGTTGATCGATTAATCCAGACGTTGAATCAGATTAAGGCTACAGGATTATTTTACTTATTTTACGTCACAGATGCAGTGGACGCGTATCCATAAAACACACCATTTCAAAAGTATAAGAAGCGTACAGGCTTAGAATGCTTAGAATACTCACAGAAGTAGACATGGAACCCGCAAAAGAACCGTAACTTTAGCACAAGCCATTACGATGTTACAAAGCTCTCTAGCATAATGCTCTTTTTGACGATAGTACTTTCGGTTTCGATCCAGTGCCAAAGGAAGCTCCACCTGCAAGAAAAAAAAAACAACAAAAAACTGCCAAACAAACAAACAATAAAACTGCGAATGAATAAGATCAATAGTCTCTGGGGAAACACCATTTTGTGTATATCACGTATTAATTACGTTATTGAAAAACAAACCAGATGCCGATGTTACAGTACAGGAACTGGCCACTAGAGGGTGCAACAACTCTACCTTCGTAGATAACATTTTTAAACGTATTCATTTCGCATTTTATAAAAGTAAAGCAAACATGTCATACAGAATACACTTCAATTATGTTTTGATTGTGTTAAAAAGTAAAAGCAATGGAATAGTAGATTAGAGAAAAAGAGGAAATTAGAGGAAATCAAGCTAAATGTTGTTTTTATGTTTATGCTTAATGTGTTTGGTCGACATTGACAGAAGAATACAAAACAAGAATAAGTCAAAAATGATATTAAAAGTTTCAGCTTTTCAGATAAAGGTAGTAGTCATACTAATCCTAATCTCCAAAATATCCTAATTCAATATATTTGTATGAACACATTTGATAACACAAAATCTTGCATGGCGTGTTTAACCAATGCTTTGCTGCCATGTCCCATTATAAAATATACAATTGTGTGTATCTCTTGTAAAGTTAGACTTGTCTGTTGGTGTTTGTGTTTTGTTCTCTGACCATAAAGGACCTATAGTCTGAATAAAGAGATGATGAGGATGATGATAATTTGAGATGTCAGTAGGTTTTTCCAGGTTATATTTAGTGAAGCCTTGATGCATACTGGTCATTTTTCAAAAAGGAGGTCACATAAAGCGAGAGTGGATATAGGCAACTTCAAATAAAAGCATCTCCAACGGCAAAATGAGCCTAAAACTCCACAGTTCACTCTGCTTTTGTTGATGAAAGCTTACGTGAGTACGAGCGCAGTTTAGATCATTTAAACTGCCTTAAGGTTGAGCTTTTGTATTTGCTTTAATTCTTTTACGTTAGAAATAAAAGCTTTGAGGTCGATTCCTAAAACTGTATGAAAGTAAAGCATCATGCAGTGACATTGAATGAGTAAGTTCTAGGTCTTAGAAAATATGCAAATTTAAAGATACCATTTAATGAACGGATAGAAATCTGTGAGATGTTACGAAAGTGTTGCTGAATGACAACTTAAATCACATCATAACGTTTATACATGCACCATGGGACTATAGATGGTCCCATACATGCACCATGGGACGATAGATGGTCCCATACATGCACCATGGGACGATAGATGGTCCCATACATGCACTATGGGACGATAGATGGTGGTTATTCTATATGGTTGGTGGTTGTTCTGGATCATACACATCTGTGTTTCATGGTTTCAGGCCTGTTCCTCAAGAGTTGCTAGGCAACCGCTGAGGACTCCAGAGAGTCATCCTGCACAGCCTACAAATAGTTCAGCTCACAACTCGCTCTGGTCCCACCAGCATCATGCAACTGTCTGGGGCTCATATTTATAATCAAATATTAGGGTTTTTAATTTTGAAATTATATGTATTCATTATATTTTGTTCATCAAAAACAGAAACAATACATAGAACAATGCATAATAATTTCAGTAATGTAGTAATAGTGTTTTTCTATCCATAGACCTTTTCATACAATATCAAAACACAGCTGTAAACATACAACTATAGGTTCCTTTCACTAGATTATACAGTCTTTATACTTGCTTCTTTATTATGCAGAAGTTAGAAATGTTATACTTACTATGCTAACGTCAGAGTCAGAGATTTGATACTTCATTTTTGCTTCTTGGTATTTAATTTATCATCAGTTAACCTCTGTGTGTTCCTCATTCCTACTGTTCTGTAACCAGTGATGCAACACTGATATTTACACACTGTTGTACTAATACATTCTCTTAATCTTAACAACCACCCCTTTCACTTTTAATGCAAGAAACAGTTCAAAAGCAGTCCCTGTCAGTTTGTTTAGATACAGATACATTAGACAGTACTTAAACAAAGCATTAGGAAAAACGTTTGGAAAATTTGTCAAAAAGTTGTATTCCTGTTGTATGCACAGCCTGTCTCACATTTTCAAGAAGACTGTTTCAGATTTTCTAGATTTTAGCAGCATTAGTCTGAAAAGCTGCCTCCCCATACATGCAGTTTTCTGAAGGAAATTTCTCTATATTTATCATCATTTTGAATGATACCTGGATTTTCAACAAGCCACTATTACATATCCCAACCTGTAAAGTGATAAAAAAATAAGTCAGAGATGGCAAAAAATTGGCTAAATGTATTTCAATCTGAGCACATTTTCACTGCCTTATAAAATGGTTTGCCAATGGGACACGCAAAAATATCCTGTTTTGAAAAGAAACAAGAAACGTGTCCCTTGGAATGAAAAAATAAAGCAACAGTTCATGGAATTAGACTAAATAGCTTTGTCCCATTGGCAAATCTGGTTTTAAGACAGTCAGAATGTACTCAAATTAAGATCCACTTGATTTAAAGATTTATTACATCATTTTTTATCACTTTTTTTGTAGTGCAGCCTGTATACACTGTAAAAAGCGATGAAAAATAAGCCAGAAATGGCTTACATTTGGCAAAATGCACCTTAATCCCAGCACATTCTGACTGCCTTAAAACACGATTTAGTGTTTAGTAACATTTTCTTGTTTTGAGAAAGTTACAAGAAATATCTCCCTTGGAATGAAAAAATAAAACAAATCTTGTTTTAAGACAGTCAGAATGTACTCAAACTAAGATTTTAAAAAAAACCCACTCAATCCAACCTCATATTACTTCATAATTTATCATTTTCTGCAGTGTATAAAAAGTACTTTTCGGTGTGTAATCTGGCGTCCACCAGAGCCCCATTGTAGTGTGTCCAGGCTACAGTGAGACAGGCTTGATATGATGTGCCCATACAACAGAACAGGAAAACGTCTCGCTGCTTTTCAACCACAGGAAATAACCTCAGAGGTGATGACGCAGGCCTCGAGGGAACACTGAGCCAAACTAACTTTAACGGCTGGAGAGGCGTGTCCGCGAGAGGCCTGATACATGCTACAGGAATAGATTTGTTATGATTTGAGGTTTTCGCCCGCTACATTTTGAGTAATAATTTGTTGAGACCTTGGGCAAGACAAGTTTTTCCCATCACCCACTGCATCAGCCACTGTTGTATACTGGGCACTTTAAAGCTGGGGTGCGTAACTTTCAAACCGCAAAGAAATGGAGCGGCGTGTAGTAAAATCCACCGAGCTGGTTATAGTTCTTCAAATAGTTCCTTTCTCTAGTTTTCACATGCGTGTATTTTGAGCCTCTTTAGATCTGCTTTTTCAGACAATTAAGTAAAAAAAGAGAAGTTCACCATCACTCAGCCAATCAGCTCAAAGCATCAAAAAATGACTCACAGGGTCACTCACTTCCAAACAAACATGCAAAAGACATGTTACATTCATCATGCTATTACTGCTCTTTTTATTAGTTATATACAAAAAGTTCTGCACTCCAGCTTTAGGGGAAAGACTAGTTTACCACTGCGCTACCATACCTACCGAATCCCGGTCAGAACAGGGCCTTTCTGAGTGGAGTTTGCATGTTCTCCCCGTGTCTGCGTAGGTTTCCTCCAGGTGCTCCGGTGTCCTCTACGACTAAAAAACACATAGGATAGGTCTGAATGTAATGAGTCATCACGTGTGGAGAGAATAGAAAAATGTCTGACCTGAGTGCTTTGGGTGACCTTGGTCTGTAAAAGTGTGCTATGCTGTATAAATAAATACTACTTCCTTACTTACTATTAGGCCCAGTCATGTTGTATCTGTAGTTGAAGTCATGAGCGACCACACAGCTGTTGATTTGGGTCTAAAACTGGTTAACTAGATATCAGAAATCAGAAAATGAATGGTGTAACTGGACCAGATTTTCTCTGAGGTTTATTCCCAACAATTAATAAGTCTGTTCTAAAAACAGTTGTTGTCCGTCACTGGCCTCCTCCAGTCCACTTCTATTTCTTCACTAAAACAAAAGATGATCAAAAATGAGGCCGATTCCGTTGTGGTCTAGTTTGAAACAGGGGTTCAAACATGGACCCCAAAATAAGCGCACACTTTACTTACTTCCTATTACATAACAATTTGAATATAGCAATCAATCAAACTATAAAATCCTCTAAAATAGTTCCTCGCTCTCCAAACAGTTTGGTTCTATCACCATAGTTTTCATTCAGCTTTTTCAGAATACCAGCCCTCACTCAGCTCTTAGTATGAGGTAGATAAAACAACACTCTTCCTTTTGGGACAAACAAAATGCATTTATGAAACAAATGACTCATGAACACTTCATAATCCATCACTGACCTCTGCCCTTATGACCGTCACTTTATGCTACTGTCACCTTATGCTACTGTCACTTTACTGCACACTTATACCCGCACTTGTATATTTCCTAGTTTGTGACTTCTTGTTACTCACATGGCAATAAAAAGGATTCTGATTCTGATTCATAGACAGTATAACTAAAGTATATTTACTGCAAAAAATATCAAATATGAGGTAATAATTGCTTGAATCAAGTGTTTTCTATCATAATTTGAGTACATTCTGACTGTCTTATAACAAGATTTGCCAATGGGACAAAGCCATTTATTCATTTCTTGTATCTTTTTCAAACAAGATCATTTTGCTGTGTCCCATTAGAAAATGCTGAAATCGAGACACATTTTTCCAAATTATTCATCACTTTTTTCAGCGTGGGTTCTCCAGCTTTAAACTTAACCCCCATCCGTCTTCTCATGCCTTGGCCCCTCCTCCTAAACTTTTCAGTCTTTATCATGCTGAGTGACAAGCGGATTCAACCAATCACAGTGAAGTATAATGATCTCTCCGAATTCAAAGGCAATAAACGCGAGGTTGAAACTAGATCCATGGTTGAAACATTGAAATAATTGCCCTCCTGAAACAAAATGGCCTCCTACGTTACAGTTGTCCTCGCCGTTGCCGCGGACGACTTTCAAAGCTTATCCTAATTGGAGCCATGAACGTCTACATCTCCACATTGAAGAGGATTTGGCCTTCACAATTCACACTCACATCTGTCTATCGAGGACTAGACAATGGAGAAAAGTGCCAGAGAAGACGTTTCAAAGTGCACACAAGAAGAAAGGCAGCGGTATAATGCCTACTGAGTATTCCAAAGAGTGGGATTTATAGGGACTATTGGAATTGTGGAAAATCCGGTTAGGGACTTTATGGGAACAGCGGGAGGTAGAAGCTGAGCCAGGCGTAGAGATGTGATTTCTGGCTGTCCTGACGTTTACCTGTGGTCTCTGCGTGTCCTCAAGTGCCTCTGCTACATTGTACCAGAGGCATTCTTTCCATTTCTTTGCATTAAATGTGTCCTTGTCCTTCCCTGGAGTGCTATACAGAGAATTATTCAACTGTACAATACTTCTCGTTCATTATACAGCTGCTGTATATGTACAGACAGGCCAGGCTGTTTGCTTGTAAAGTTACAGACAATGGTGACTATTTCTCTGCTATTTTTTCTTTTCTTTTAAGTTGGAAAATATTCACATAAAAGCAACGATGATAGTCGTTGAAAAAAACACTGATCTCGGCACCAAAGTTTTATGATTCCAGCCGTTAAGATTTGCATAGTCCGCTGAACTTTTACGGAGAGTTTGGATCCAAAAATGATTCTCCGCTGGCAGCGCCAACACGATGACCTTTCTGTTTGAGTGGTTTTTATTTTTTCTCTCTGCAAAATGTCATGACAACTTTGGAGATGGCCGTTACAGATAGCCATAATGCAGAGATAATGAACTCTAATGACTTCACTGGATCCGACTTTTCCTTGAGAGGGAGATAAGGGAGATAAGTTTCCACCTGGGAACCCAAACTTATCACAGCCTTTCGGCTGCAAATCTTTGGATCATGCTGTCGTGGTTTTCCCTTCTGAATTGACGTCTGCAAATTATAAATGTTTCACGTTTGATGCATGTTTTTGAATTTTTCCGAATTCAAAGCACTACAAAGAGAATTCTGAAACTCCTACAGCAGTCATTTTGACGGCTCCCATTCAACCCAATGGTATTCTAGTGCTAAAACTGGAGAGCATAGTTTGAAATAGAGATAAACGTGCAGAGGCTAAATGCTCGCTGCTGTTAAGTAAACAGTGTGTTGCTATGGTAACTAGCCCTTTCTCAGAACCAGCACCTTGAGAAAATGGACCTTATGGAAAAAATAATGACAAGAAATTAAACTACACATAGAAACAGAAAAAGTCACAAAGTTATGAAGACCAAAAATGTACATGAGAGGAGTCATTACTCAAACAAAGTAAAAAGTTCTGAGAATTCTAGAGTTAATCTGTGATACACAGTTGTTTTGTAAGAATCTCGCAGGCATTATGTCATGGAAACAAAATAAGCCGCTTGCTACAGAAATGTGCTGCTATGTTGGTGCTTTGTTGTACTGCAGCTAAAGGGAATGTAATACTGCATATTATTGCCAAGTTGTTTTAGATCAATATAAAATATAATTCACCTTTTTTATCTTTGTGGCGCAGCGGTTAGCGCTTGTTCTTCACAGCAAGACAGGGCCTTTCTGTCTGGAGTTTGCATGTTCTCCTCGTGTCTGAGTATGTTTCGCCCGGTTTTTCCGACCACTAAATACATGTACAGACTGAATGTAAAGTGAATGGATGCCGATGGGCAGAGGCTCGCTGCACCAGTCTGTTTGGCCTCTCGCTCCTGTCATCACATTGAGTGGTCAGTGTAAGGCGCTAAATAAAGATTACATGTAAAAAATTCTATTTGTTCAAACCACACCATGAAACTGACCTTGTGTTTGGTCTTTCTGCTTTCTTCTCTTGCTTTGTCATGTAGTTACTACTGGCATTGGCTGTTGGGTAAGATTTTCACTCCACCAGACCTTTTCTCAACCTCTTATACTCAAGCTGAAACATCATTCAGATGATAAAAAAACTGTGAAACATTTCATGAGCAACCAATCATTTTCTTGTACTTCTTTACACTCACACTTATTATAAACATTTCTTCATCCAATTCCTTTGTGCTATCATAAAAAGTATTCGCCGACAAACTGCTAATGGAATCACAGCAGGGTTCTATGGCTCATCCGGCGCAATGCCATATTTTACAAGCATCAAAACCATAACTGCTTTGATGCTTCGTTTGCTTGTTTCCGTCCGCGGTTCAAGCCCAATCCAACATATAAACTCTGGGATTTTCAAACAGCCGTCTGCTTTCTTTCAACTGTCATGAGCGATTCTTACTCTGGTATAGTGTACATTTACTCACAGAGAAACAGTGTGAATCGCACCCACACACAGCACACAATAGCTGGAGTGTGTGCAGTGATAGAATCTGTTTTGAGAGCAAGGAAGTTAAGCTAGTTAAAAGGATGCTATAGTTTTTAGGTACTGTAGTTAGGAGCTGAATCTTCAAATTGAGTCAGTCATCTTTATTTATATAGCGCCTTTTACGGACCAGAGTCACAAAGCGGTTTATGATTGTTGTGGGCATTTGTTACTCCATCCACACAGAGATGGGAATGAGGTTGTTGCATAGAGCCAGACCCATTGTACATGTTTTTAGTGGTAGGGGAAACCGGAGCACCCGGAGGAAAACTACCTAGACACTGTGAGAACATGCAAACCACACAGAAAGGCCTGAAAATGAAAAAAAAAAACAAGACCTTCTTACTGTGCAGCACAAGCGATAACCACTGTGCCACCGTGTCGCCAGGTGTCCTTCAAGCAGTGGTTCTCAACATAGTCAAATAATCCCCATCATCTGCACGTTGGGAAAACCTGATAAGAAGTACAGATGATGGGTGAAAAACCTTCCTTTGCTGTAACTACCTGCGTTTTTTTTTTTTTTTTTTTTCATTTTTGGAAAGATTGAACACTTTTGTTAGTTCTATCATGAAATTATGGTCAAGCGTTGGTGGACTTTTGGGGTTGGACTTTATTTATTTTGTTACCGCATCTGTTGTCTTGCCTTTTTGAGTTCTCCTTCCTGTCCCATTGATTGTTTGACTCCTCTCTAATGTGATACCTCAGTGTGTCCCTGTGTATGCATACCTGTTGTCTGTCCATTGTCTACATTGATACCTGGCTCGTTTTTGAGAATTGTTCCCCACGTGTTTTCTAAGTTTCCTTTTCCATGTAATCTCATGACATAGGTATTGAAACAGTTCACTGACCAAAGCTTTTTGTGTAAATCTAATTTCTTGGTTCTGTTGCCCTGAACCTGTCCTGAAAATGAGTAAATTATTGATGAAAAAGAGGTCAGTTAGTATACAACTTATTGCTACTACTACTACTACTTACGACTGATCTGGGACTGTCTCCAAATATCACATCATGTTCTACTTTGTGTACATGCCCTTATCAATGGATACAACTTTGCTTGAAATGGTGCTCTTTATACCTTGTTTAAAGAGGCCCGCTCCTTATTTGAGAGTTGGCCTTTGATATAGAAAACAAAAATGCAAATATATTGAAGCTGGAGTAACCACAGTAACTTTCACATCACAAATAATGGAACTATGTAATCAAATCTATAAAACTAGTTTTTCGCTTTCAATGCAGACCACCCACACTAAGCCCAAAGCGTCCAATAGCGACTCACAGCTTAAAATAACATGGTGGTGATCAAGAACTTCTGTAGCCACAGTTGCCCTGGGGCACACTGACAGAAGAGTCAGAATAATTGACCGCAGTTTACGGCTGGCTAAGGCTTTGCAACAACTGCTGGGGATTTTTAACAGGCTAGCTTAGTGAAAACCCACATTGCAGTCCAATTCAGGCAAAAATAAGTATAATTACTACTACTACTACTACTTCTGCCACTACTGAGTAAAATTATGCTTACCTGTTCTGTGGGGGAAAGACTAGTGGGTTTGTATATCCATGATTTCTCCACCAATCTAAAGGTCGCCAATATGAATGCAGCTCGGTATCATGTCGCTCCTTCTTCGTTGTCTTCCTCCATTTCTGGCGTGTATATTAGTGTAGGCGTCTGAGGCACCACTGAAGTCGACTTTGCTCTCTCCGCCATGTTTCTTTTGGAGAATGCACGTGCACACACAGAGAGAAACCTCCCTTATACCGTTCTCTCTCCTGATTGGATACAAACTGTAGGATACAAGATTACTTTAAAATAGGCCTGAGAGCAGAGTGGAGTGAATGAGAGATCTGTGTTTAGGTCCAAAACACTCTGTATAAGTGATGATTATTGGAAGATAAAATGATTTGAGACTCATATTAACACATAACATTGCTTACTTCTGCTTTAATGTGCAAGTTTGGTTTTTTTTAAATTATTGTTAGAGACCACGGTTGAGGACCCGCTGCTTGCTGCCTTACCTGGACCACCACCTTCAGGGACCGACACATGATCCACTGGGATCCACCTCACCACAGTTAGTGATCCAGATAAGAAAAGGAACCATGGGCCATTTCACGAAACACAACTTGACTTTATAGTAAAGAAATAGACTGAGAAGAAATAAAATAATTGAAAAGGAGGTTACTACCCACTTTATGCAGACGATTGATTAAAAACACAGTATGAACACTTTATTATTATAAACAAAGCTACATTTGTTTCTCTTTTTCTCCACAAAAAAAACTTCAAAGATGATTCTTAAACTTCAGCTGGATCTGAGTAAACTTTATTAATACACAGCCTCAGTCCTGGGCCTACAGTCTCAGTCTCAGTCCTGGGTCTACAGCCTCAGTCCTGGGTCTACAGTCTCAGTCCTGGGTCTATACAGCCGCAGTCCTGGGACTCCTCAGCCCGAGTCCTGTGACTACTCAGCCCGTCCTGGGACTCCTCAGCCAGAGTCCTGGGACTCCTCAGCCCGAGTCCTGGGACTCCTCAGCCAGAGTCCTGGGACTCCTCAGCCCGAGTCCTGGGTCTACAGCCGCTGTCCTGGGTTTAGAGTCTCAGTCTCAGTCCTGGGTCTAGAGTGTCAGTCTTACAGCCGCAGTCTTGGGTCTATAGCCGCAGTCCTGGGTCTACACAGCCTCAGTCCTGGGTCTACAGCCGCAGTCCTGGGTCTATAGCCGCAGTCCTGGGTCTAGAGTGTCAGTCTTACAGCCGCAGTCTTGGGTCTATAGCCGCAGTCCTGGGTCTACACAGCCTCAGTCCTGGGTCTACAGCCGCAGTCCTGGGTCTATAACCGCAGTCCTGGGTCTACAGTCTCAGTCTCAGTCCTGGATCTTGAGCCACAGTCCTAGGTCTACAGTTTCAGTCTCAGTCTTGGGTCTACAGCCGCAGTCCTGGGTCTACAGCCGCAGTCCTGGGTCTACAGCCTCAGTCCTGGGTCTCCAGCCATAGTCCTGGGTCTACAGCCGCAGTCCTGGGTCTACAGCCGCAATCCTGGGTCTATACAGCCTCAGTCCTGGGTCTACAGCCGCAGTCCTGGGTCTATACAGCCCGAGTTCTGAGACTCCTCAGCCCGAGTCCTGTGACCCCTCAGCCCGAGTCCTAGGACTCCTCAGCCCGAGTCCTGTGACTCCTCAGCCCGAGTTCTGTGACTCCTCAGCCCGAGTCCTGTGACTCCTCAGCCCGAGTCCTGTGACCCCTCAGCCCGAGTCCTGTGACTCCTCAGCCCGAGTCCTGTGACTCCTCAGCCCGAGTCCTAGGACTCCTCAGCCCGAGTCCTGTGACTCCTCAGCCCGAGTCCTGTGACTCCTCAGCCCGAGTCCTAGGACTCCTCAGCCCGAGTCCTGTGACTCCTCAGCCCGAGTCCTGGGACTCCTCAGCCCGAGTCCTGTGACTCCTCAGCCCGAGTCCTGTGACCCCTCAGCCCGAGTCCTGTGACTCCTCAGCCCGAGTCCTGTGACTCCTCAGCCCGAGTCCTGGGACCCCAGCTTAAGTCCTAAGTACAGGATGTTCTGTAGAATGTTCTGACCTATGCATCACCACGGCAGCGGTTGTCATAGGAACAAATAATTTCAAACTTTTGAACGTAGAGGCAGAGCTAAGCACTTCATCACAAATTTGCCAATTGGTGTTGTGGGTTGACCGGTTGAGTTGGTTAAAACATTACTGTCAAATGAAAATGAAAGAAGGGGCAGCAGTGGCTCAGTTGGTAGAGCATTGGCCTTTGGGCCTGAAGGTCGTGGGTTCCAGCCCACCATGAGACCTACTTTATGACTCCCATTGATGTCTATCGTTGCTTCCTTGAGCAAGACACTTAACCCCACTCTTTACCTGAAGCCCCCGCTGAAAGATGGATCAGGTGAGGGGCTGGTGCTCTGACTGCAACCCCCCCCCCCCCCCCCCCCCTGCAACCCCCCCCCCCCCCCCCCCCCCCCCCCCCCCCCCCCCTCCCCCCCCCCCCCCCCCCCCCCCCCAGAAATGGACCCCCCCCCCCCCCCCCCCTCCCCCCCCCCCCCCCCCCCCCCCCCCCCCCCCCCCCCCTCCCCCCCCCCCCCCCCTCCCCCCCCCCCCCCCCCCCCCTTAAGGATGGGATGGATAAAATGAAAGTCCAGGGAAAAGTACGGACGACATTCAGAAACCAGGAAAACTGTCGGACCAAGACAGTGAACCAGTACAACACTGGACACACACACACACACACACACACACACTGGACAGTAGTAAGAGCACACAAAAGCAGTAGCACACACAAAATATATAGAGACAAGTTACATATGTCCATTGTGGCACAACCTGGATGTGAAAACTGTTGTTGTGTCCTTAGGCAAGCACCCACATTGCCTAGAATGAGTCTGTTGTGTGTGTGGATGATGTGGTCGTTGGCCAAATTAACACAATAGTTGTTTTAACCAAAAGATCCATCAGACTCATAAAAACCAACTAGTTTTATTAAATAATCAAAAACTGGAGAAACGTATCTGTTTTTGGGGTGCTGGTAAACAGAATGATCGTGTTTGTTTGTTATGATGTGGAAGGAAAGTTGCATAGTCTAAAAATAGTTTGTTTGAAAAAGATTGTAGTAGACGTGCCGTGGTTTATTATTGAAGAGAATTGTTTATAGTGAAGAATGAGAACAAGAACAATTGGTCTAGATGTGTGCGCTGCCACTGAGATGTTCCGAAGGGAAAGTCATCAAAGACCAACATTCTTTTAAAAAATGGATTGCGATAGAACTGTGAGAGTCAAAAGTAAGGTTTTTCACAATGCTACACCTTTTCAAAAACACACTCAAACTTATATTTTAGTTTCTAGATGGTCAGTGGTGTAGAATATTTTACATTTTCTATTATTCTCTGAAAATACATTATTCCTGGACTGCCACGCCTTCCTGTCTGTCTGGACACATTTTTTCATCTACATCACAGCTTCTTATCTTGAAGGCAACACATTTTGACAACTAGTTCAACAATTTAATGAAGACTATTAGTTTGACAGGGAATGATTATTCAGCTCCATAAGTATGTAATTAAATAAGTATTCTTTATTTATATAGCGCCTTTCACACACCAGAGTCACAAAGCGGTTTGCAATTGTTGCGGGCATCTGTCTCTCGCTCCACACAGAGATGGGAGTGGGTTCAGTACAGGAGGTGCATGCCAGACCTATTGTACATGTTTATAGTGATTACATGATAATGAAATAAAATTGAAAATAATCGAAAAAAAGTAACTGATACATGTCCAAAATCATTTGTAATCTGTTCAAAGGAGAAACTGCTGCGATGATGTCACCAATGACTCAGTGTTGTGGAGGTTGAACTGATAGTTTTGAGAACTTTAAGTCTGAGAAATGCACCAAAAACTGTACTTAGCAGTTCTGCAGAACACAAGAAATACCATATGGGTTAGGGTTAGATAAATATAACACACACCTCCTCATGAGTGAAGCTGAAAGTCACCTGAGAGCAATTTTCAGAAAAAAAATGATAGATTGTATGAAATTAGTTGACAGATTTTGATTTTGAGAAATAGTTTAACAATTTTGTATGTGATGACTCAAGCAATGAAATGAGGACTAATAGTTTTATAAGAAATGTCTATTCAGAGGTCATAAGTAAGTTTCATTTTGACTGACAGGACAGAAGCAAATGATAATGTTAAAAAGCAGCAGAGAATTGTATGATACACGTCCAAAAGCTTTTGTAATTTGTTCAAAGGAGAAACTGCTTTGATGATGCGCACAAATGACTCAATGTATAGATAATAATAATACATTTGTTTGTCTCAACAGAAAGAGTCTTGTAAAACCAACAAATGAGGCTATAACACGCTATACTTATCTCATTGGAAAACATTTTATCTTTTCGTAAGAAAGAGCCCCACCTCATTGGCTGATTGAGGGTGGTCCTCTCTTTTCCCTTTTTGGATGTGACGGAGACCAAAAACACATGCTTGTGAGAACTAGTGATAGAGATGTATTTAGATTTTTATTTTGCCTTCTTCAATTCTCTTCTTTTGCCTTGACCGGTTGTGTAAAGTTCTCCAAGAAAACTCCTGTTATGATTTCGGGCAATACAAGAATACATTGAATTGTGGTCTATGTCTGAAGTTGGTTCCACACATGTCTGACTTGACAACAACCAACTCCCCCGTGATGTCTTCATTACATCGAACGAGACGACACCCTTGTTCCACTGACAAGCCCCTATTTTGCCACATTCTCCTGCTCTTCAACATTTCACCATTACTAAAACAAACATCGAAATCACAAAGAGAAGACTTGGCATCCTCCTCTTTTGCCGTGGAGAGGTGCACCGCGGGCCTCATTCATAATTCAGTGGCATGGCGGCGATATGAGAGGGGAGCGCATCTGTCTGCATTACGCCAGTGTTGCCTGCCAGTTGCATCACCTCCTGGGCTCTTGCTTCTGTTTTGTACCCCCCTTCTCTACCCCGCCCCTCATACACACACACAGACACACACAAACTTACATACACACTTACACACACACACTTTTGATACAGCCACCTATTCAGTTGTGGTCCAATTTCAGCTGGAGATAAGGTTTAGCAGTATATTTCTGTCCGAGGTGAGGCACGGTTTTTTGCCTTTATCTCACACACAGCTCAAGTATGAAGGATATTATGAAGAGCTCCCATCCCCCCGTTGTGTATGTCGTCTCCTTACACAAAGAGCGGTGCATGGGCCTTATTACACGCACACACACACACACACACACACACACATACAGGAGCTGGCTGCTGGTCTGTCTGACCTACTTTAGCTCTGTAGGCTGTGTGCGCTAATGGAGTGTACGATGTGTGTGCGTTTGTGTGCGTGTGCGTGTGCGTGTACGTGTGCGTGTGTGTGTGTGTGTGTGGAGAGGCGGTGGTATTATCTGACTGTCGCTGATTTGCATTTCTGCCCTGTCACTGGCAGATGGCACCAGAGGTCGGGAACCATTTGAGGAGCATTGTTGGTGTTTAAAGCCCCACTGTGTGACATTTTGGCCGGTAAACAGAGGGGTAGCTGCAGGCCAAGCGGGGCAGGTGTGAGCTCCGGGCTGAAAAGAATGAGATGAACTATCACTGGTACACGCTGGTGCTGGAAATGTGCTGGACAGTTTTTTCAGATTTATTTCATTCTGTATATCTTAGCTTATATTGTTGCATGCTGTCGTGAAATCTCTAGAACTAATCCAAATAAGACAATGTTTAGAGTAAGTGGGAGTTTATGAACATGAATATAGTCACATTTGTTTAAGCATCACACAAACACACAATGCTTGATTTTGAGTTTATTTTATGTAGGTGTCATGCACAAAAGTCCACAGCCCACATGGGATTATATGAAGCAACAACATCTGATGGCTACAGACTGTATATATACACGAAAACCAGAACACAATTAACAGTAAAAGTCTCAAACAGGATCTGTTTAGCAACAAAAGAAGCAAAGACAAAAAATGAATTGTGGTAGTTCATAATTTCACCCTCAGGCCAAAAGACCTCTGGATTAGAAGCCTTCAAATAAAATAAAATGTTTTGATACTCAAAGTAAAGTGGAAAATACTCAAGCTCTACCAACTGAGCCACTGGCGTCCAATATAAAACATAACATTTAGAAAAAGACAACATGCATGCCTTATTCTATTTTGACTTTTAAAACTTGTTGGCACCGAGAGCCAAAGCGATTTCCTAGTACGTGACTTCCTGTTACTCACAACGGCAATAAAAATAACTCCGATTCTTGATTCCTCACAAGCCCCGTCTGAGCACCACCAACTCCACAGATTGATTCTATATTTCTTTATACACAGTGTTTCTAATAACAGAAATGCCAACGAAAGCCCCCAAAACAAAACCCATCATTTACGTGTGGGGCCCTGGAGACGCCCCTGTCAGAAAGAGCCAACTACTGAGAGCACACTTACATCTGCAGACCTGACCAGTTATGACGGTGGGATTGCTTTACCTCAAATGTTTGTTAAATATACCAATGGTTCCTATGTGTTTGTTATTATTGCATTGCCTGTGTTCATACGGTTTGATTCTGTTGTTGAGGAATCTACAGCTTTGTAAAGTACTCCAAGAAGACTGCTGTTGTGATTAAGGGACGTACAAAAAATATTTGACTGCATTTCAGATTCATGCAGCTAAAATCTTGAATAGTCTTCCTGAAAATACAAAACAGGCTTCTTCTCTGACTATGTTCAAATCCAGGTTAAAAACTGTTTTGTTTAGCTGTGCATACAACTGAAGGATTTTATCTTTATTTTTTTGAATGTACTGTGATTATTATTTTAATGCTTTGCGTGATTATCTCGATCTTGTTTTGTGTTTGAATTATGTAATACAAATAACACAACCCTATAAATAACATTATGGTATATACTGTCTATGGATCACCAACTATACAGGGTAGTAATGGGAGAAAGTTTCATGTTGCACACTCTCAAATGAAGTTCTTGCTTACCCGATTAAGTCTTAAGTCAAACTAAGTCGTTCACTGGAGAACTGATTTGCAACTGGGACAATGGACTGTAACCGTGACTCACTGTAAAAGCTCACTGGATTCAGGCTTAATTATTATCCACACAAAAGTTAATTAACAACACGATGGCCTGCATGTTATCACCGTGTCTATGGTTTACACCGTGTGCCATATGGAGAAGAATCGTTTTTTCTTTATCTAAGTTAGGGGTATCCAAACTTTTTAGTAAGAGGGCAACTTTAGTTCACCAGACTTGTCCAGGGCCTGACGACAAGGATTATAAAACTATTTCTACCTGTTTCTGGTTGTTTCTACCTTATTTTGTAGTTTAAAACAGGGTATGATGTGTCCATATTGATTCCCACCACTACATTGGCACCATTTTGGATTTAAATGTTAGTACAAAGTAACGTCCAGTGGTTCTGAGCTTTAAAACAAGGTATAGCATGACTATATTGGTGGAGCTGAAGCTGGCTGGATGACACTATGAAAGTGCCTCAATGACTAGTTTTTGTTAGCGGCACAGGGCCACAGAAGTCTTCCGATGCCAACTCAAATCGCCTTTATGCCCACAAATACAGATTGTTTTCAATTTGATTCAGTTCATTTTGTATAGCCCTAAATCACAACAGTAGTCGACTCTTAGGACTATATAAAGTTGTCGATTCACCAACAGTAATAATAACAAATATGTGAGCCATTGGTCTACAGGGAGCAGGATGACAAATGTCCTTAAATGTGAATAAATCACTGTCCTTAGACCGTCCAGCATTGGCCAGGGACGACTCGACCTCCACCAAACCCTCTTATGTCTCTCTTGTGTCTTCCTGTTCTCTGACACAACTTTCATCTTTTCATGGTGGTCTTTCTGGTCTTTCTCTGGTCTCTCGCTGGTCTCTCTTTGGTCTCTCTCTGTTCTCTCTTTGGTCTCTCTTTGGTCTCTCTCTGGTCTTGACAGAGCTGTCATCTCTGTGTGCTCTTGTCAGATTGTGAGGTCACAGACAGACAGACAGACAGACAGATAAATATACAGATAGATAGATGGATTTGTGCCTTGGCTTTTTTTGTGTGGCTTTTAGTTAGCGGTGGAGGGCCACAGAAAATTACACAACGGGGCGCATTTGGCCCACGGGCCTTAGTTTGGCCACACTTGATCTTAAGTCTTCCACTGCCAACCCAAAATCGCCCTCGGTATGTACGGTACATGTTCACAAATACAGATTTTGTTTAATTTTTTTTTTTCCTTTTTGTGCCTTGGCTTTTAACAACAACTGATTTCTACTGTTTTACATTTTTTTTATGTGTGCGTGTTTCATGCTGTTTTATGTTCCCTTTTTCTTTCAAGGTTGTGAATTGTACTTATTTTGATTTCCTTATCACACGCCCCTTCCCACACACACCCCCCTACACGTACACACACACACACACAGACACACACACACACCGCTACACATACACACACACACACAAACACACACACCCACACACACACACACATACACACACAGACACAAACACACACACCCACACACACACACACACAAACACACACACCCACACACACACACACACACACACACACACACACACACACACACACACACACATGCGTCTGCATCAAATACGGCTCATTACAAATGCGCAGTCACATGAACATGCCCGGACATGTCTTTAATGGCTTCTATTGAGCTTGTTGTTTCCATGGTTTCACTGAGCCGCTATAGATGCATGTTCTTTGGTCTAAAACAGGAAATGAAGAGAAAAAATATACTTCAAAACAAATTATGAATAATCTTTGATCTGGGCGCTGGAAATCAGTTTGTATTGAGTTTAGATATTTTCATGACTCTTAAAAATTTATGTTTCGCTTTTTCTGAAAACATTTAACCAAAACTGGACCAAATATTGCTCTATTTTTTAACTTGTAATAATGTGTTTGGTTAGAATTTTAGAATTCATTCAGTTCGTTTGCTTTCCTGCCAACATAGATGAGTATGACATGCCTTGGTCGCTCATTACCATCAATGCTAGTGCAAGTTAATAATAATAGCTGAAAATCATGTTAGGGGCCACAAAAAATTGTCTTGCGGGCCGGATTTCGCCCACGAGCCTGAGTTTGACAGGCCTGCCTTAGACCCTCCTGCATTGACATGTAAAAACAACTAAAACTAGTAAAAAAAACAAAAAGTGGTAAAATAGTGAGAAACTTAGAGAGGCTGACACTGAGGAATCAAAGAATCAATGTCCAAACATTTATTAATCACTTTCCACTGAAGTCACAGCTTGAGAATGTTGATCAAAATCAAAGTCACACACAAACAGTCTAATTATTCAAACCGGGACTAATAATTGTAATTTTTTGAAGACTAATGAACTGTTGCAACATCCTGACCGTCATGAGCCTTTTGACTGAACTGGACTGACCTCTCACTCAGTCAAATGAGGACTTTCAGACTCTGACGAAGAGACAGAACTGTGAGGATCATTCATAAAAAAAGTGCAAAGTTTGGAAGCAGTTCCCGAATGGAGAGTGGAGAAGTTATCTGCAGCTTGGGGCCATGTCTGCAGAGATGAAGAGAAAACATGAGGCTGTTGTTGTGGAGGGAGAGCAGTGGAGGATTGTGTTATGTAGTAAAAAATAATGATGAAGATGTAGGACTGAAGGATTACCACCAATCAATGATATAAACAAGTGGCATACAGAATGTTTTGATCTGTTCTAAGACCCTCGGTGCAGGAGGGTTTAAGGACAGTGGTGATGAGGGACAATTATTAACATTGATTAACATTTACGGACATTGGTCATTGGTCAACCCGCTCCCTATGAACTAATA